GTCTGCACATGTATTATTTTCTGGATCATGCTACATGTAAATCAAGATTTATAAAATGAATTACATAATACTACATGACACTCTACCATTTGTCAGTTTAAAACACAATCAACTTTTTTATCCAATATTTTTCCTCCACATCATTTTATGTAATTCCTTATATACCATTTTTATCTACAAGTAGTATAATCCAAAAAAAAAAAAAGAGATCATTTTATAGAACCCTTTAAGCCCTAATTTTCCTTGAAAATTAATATGGTTTTGTTCAATAATTAATATTTTTATTTTTATTTTTCCCTTTGGCATATCATGTAGCCACATGGTTTCATGGAGAAACCATACTGTCTGTACCACAACAATTTGCACTTCTGAAGAGTAATGTTCTCGTATCCAAAATGTATAATTAGAATCTCGAATTGTAACATAAATTAAAGATATTATTTCTTTATATAAATTAGACATTAATGATTTGTTTGATAGGGTGTTAAGACAATAATAGACCATGTTAAGCAAAAGAAATAAGTTAAAATCTTCTTCATCATGGTGTAAGTATTATCCATGTGTACGATGTTAACGGTGAAGATTATTTTACTTTGGTTTGTTAAAGATTTCTTTCTTTGTGTGCGGTTAAAAATATAACGTGGGACAAAAATTGAAGATGCGCTAGTCACTAGATTATATTACCATTATTAATTTGTAGGATCATATTGTATAAATTAAAATTCGTAAGTTGTTTCAGACGAGAACACATGACATTAAGAAGAAGATAAATTATTAATGAATTTTTATTGACAGACGATAAAATTTGTCGATAATAGTATATAAAATCATGAGTTACTCGTTACCAAAAAAGAAAAAATAGTTGCAAACTTTAGACCCATGCATGAGTGTTGATCGACCGATCAATTTACAACAAAATGGCATGGTTTAAAATAGTAAACCGTTAAATTTTGTAGCTTGATTAGTTAGTAACAATTCACCATGGAAATGAATTAAAGCACTCACAAGAACTCAAACAAAGGGGGAAGAAAAAGAAAAGAACAACCTCACCTCTAATCATGGACAGATCTAGTACCGAATTATAGACTGGGCTAATACGTAAAAAAGAAAAAAAAAATTAC